GTAAGGACGTGTGTATGTATATTATAAATAGATAAGTAGTATTTTTAAAAAAATTAATTGACTACAAAGCTACAAAGATTTATAATCAATTAAAAATATTAATTAAGGAAATAGAATAAAATTTATTAAATTAGATTCAAATAAGGTTTTAATATTAACAATAATTTTTAAATCTAGTCCCAACCTTTAACATCTTATTGCTACGTGATCAGGGTTGTCAAAAACGATTTTTCGTTCATGAACAGCTTGTGTTCGGCTCGCTAAGCAAACAAGCCGAACACGAACACGCTTTTGAGCTTGAAATATAAATGAGCCGAACAGAAGCTGAGTCTGGGCTCGCTTGTGTTCGGCTCATTTACACCCCTAAATTGATAGTGTCGCCAAGCCCGTCCTCCTTTCCTTTTTTTGTTTCCCGCCTATTGAAGTCCTTGGGTTTGTTGTTTGAGAAGATTAGGATTATGTTTTGTTTGATTTAAAATTTCATATATGTAATTAGAAAAATCATAGTAATAAAAAAGGAGACAAAAATGGGAGAGAAAGAAGGAGAGAGGAGAGAGTGAGAGAACTATATGGCCAATTATGCTTGTATAACTTTCATGCAGGTTAACTAAAGACTCACATGCATCTTGTAGACAAGTAGATTAAGAGATTTATTTCGACCACAATTTCTCACGACACAGACCAACACGACTTATAGAACGTTGGACATACAGGCATCCCCGACGCAGCGCCCTAAATAGGGGTTGACGTCGAGAGATTGCCAAAATTTCCAAGGATTTGGACTTTTAAATGTTCTTAAAAATCCAATTATATGGACTTTAAAATGATAAAAAAAGAGATAAAAGGAAAACATGAATTGTAAATTAAATGTAAAAATAATCATTCAGATTATCATTCAAGTTATCTTCAAGAGAAGAAAATTATTCATACTGGACATATAAATGCTTGTGAATAAATTGATAACCCACCAATTAATAGGATCGGACTTCCCTTTGTCTTCAAATTCAACAATATTTTAATATGATCAAATAAAAATATTTGTCCTAATGAAAATAAATCTTTGTGTTCTATTTTAAAACAAAAATTGTGGTCTAAGTTTGACTTACATATGAAACATCATAAATTGAGGCTAAGCTTAGGATACGGTAAATAGCTTAAATATGGCTTAGGGGTTGTCAAATTGACTTAAATATGAATGCATAAATTGGGGGCTAAATTAAAGCAGATAAATGCTTTTTTAAAAAAATGTTAAACTATGATTTCATATGTTCAATTGCCACCGTATTCACATCAAATGGGCAAGAAAATATAAAGTGGTTCTCATTATCAATGCATGCATTTCAAATTCTAAGTGAATTTTCTTAAAATCTTGCATTTGTGCTTCAAGAATTTTTTAACCTTTAATATTCTGCCTCAAAAGATGTTTTAGTATTTTAAAATGTGCATTTGCATCTTATGAATGCTTCAAATATCATATTGTGTCTTGCAAAAATAGATATTATTATGTATTTACTCCTTATAAATGCATAGAGTATCATGCTATAATAACTGGAATGACATAAATTCCTACGATTACATATGTGTGCCAATATTCATATAAAATACATGATATGGGCATGTTGAAATGCGTGCACAATCTCAAAATTATGAATATGCACAAGCCGCCGTGTCTATAAGGTTAGATTGTAAGTCACACTCACCTGGTCTGGTACTTCACTTAAGAATTAAAATTGACAAGTCTAGTAAATTTCTCAAAATTATGAATATGCACAAGCCGCCGTGTCTATGAGGTTAGATTGTAAGTCACACTCACCTGATCTGGTACTTCACTTAAGAATTAAAATTGACAAGTTTAGTAAATTTTAATAATGTTTAAATCACAAATATAAATATTTGTAAACCCAAATCACCTAGTATGATTATCCTCCTCATCTGGACTAAAGTTGACAAGGTTTATAAGGTTTTGAACTGATAAATTTTCAAGTAAATTGTAAACACGGAAAAATTATTGCGTACGGAGAAGGTACGCAGAGCTGCGTGCGCTCTCCGATCACAACCGTGCATCAATCATCTATGTATGTCAGTGGGTCTCACTTTTACTAAATTAAAAAAAAAATTAAAGGGATGGTTGACGTGCGGCTGTGATCGGAGAGCGCACGCAACTTGCGTACGCTCTCTGTACGTAATAATTTCTCGTAAACATGAGCGCTTCAAATGTTCTAATCGCTGACGATGGTCGTGTTGACTGAAAATCTCAATTGGATTGGTTAATTTCAAACTAAGTTTTTTAATCAACACTCAATTTAAATCTAAATCATTTAAGACTTAAAGCAAACTCTATCCATTTTTCACAACAATTTATCGAGGGTGACAAACTTTAATTGGTATATGCTCACGAAGAGCTAATTTCATATCAAGTGTGTCGTCACATACTTGAAGTAGTCTTATTCAGTAAGGACGTGACCTGAGTCCCTTATTGACATAATTTTGCTGTCAAATAACATCACAAACTAATATTTACGATCAGAGCTCTCTGACTAGGTGATTGTTGCCAAATTATCTCATTATATTACAGTCACTACCACATTTTGTATGTTCCCCAATGACTTTCTATCTTTTGAGTTATGAACAATAAAGATACAATTGATTCACATAAAATCTTCTATTAATTGGTCGACTTAAATTTGTCCCCTTAGACAAACATCCTCCCCATAATCCCTTGGATGATGCAACCTATCATTGCTAACAAAAATTCTTTAGTTATATTGGGTCGACTATCTAATCGAACTAAGTAGATCAGAGACCACGACGATTTTGGATGACAGAACCATGTGATCTTAATCAGGCTCGTCATTAAGCTTAAAGTGATAAATTTTTCAACGTAAAACTCAAGTCTACTGATATTATATGTTAACTATTTGGGGTTGAATAACTAGCCTTAATCGAAAGTGTTCCGCTGTTATCAGGAGGGATAATTAACCATAGGGGCTTGCACCAATGAGAAACCTCAAAACGCAAATCAAAAAGTCCTGGCAAAATGAGTGTGAACTCTCTGGTTAGTGTCTTATCTAGTATTATATCTGTCTTCTGAAAATTTGACCCTCAAAGCTCTCTTAATAAACAAATGCAAAGAGTTCGGAGGTAAAAATTTTAGGAGCCCATAGGATTGACATGTTAATTTTCAGGTCAAGTTCAAGATGCCCACAAACCCACACGAAACCCAAATAATTGAAACTTAGAAGTTAACCAAAATTTAACTTTGAATGACCATTGTTAAATGAGTTACTCAAGTCGAGTTTTAATACAATCATGTTGAAATTGAGTCGTTTGGTCAGACTAATTAACCCGTAAAGTAATGCCATGACTTAGTCTTAGACATCTATATCATTATTATAATGAATATACAACTTCAATATTCTTCGCAGAAGACTCCCAGTCAAGCAAATTACTCTTATTTTGTAGCTACGTCTGTCTTTCTTCATTGTCCTCCCATGCAATGCTCGTCCTCCTTTGTATTCTTGTGCGTGAAATGTCAAGCATCCAGTTTGACACGATATTTCAAGATAGCTTATTTAATTAACTAAGCTAATTTTACCAAGACCAACTCTATAAGATTTGAATCCCGTGTGTAATTTCCAAGCAATATTCTCATATTCATGGTCAAAGCAAAAAATTGTTATTCCTGTTAATGGGACTGGATCAACCAAATGGACTAGTCTGATCTCTCCCTCTCTCTCGTCAAATTACAGCCCTACATAAGCATTTCTATTTGGAGCATTTACATACATACCACCCAATTGCAACATGTTGTTACATATCTAACACCTTAGCATTTTTCTTTTTTTCTTTTTTTACATTTGTGCCACCTAAATCATTAATATCACATCAAAAATATCACCAACATAGCTTTCAAAAAGTGAAATTCGTCTTGTCATGTTAGGTAAGATGGCATGTATGTAATAATTAAAGTTTAGGTGTAAGATATGTCAATATCAAGGCTGTGAAAATTGTAGCGAAGGAAAAATCAAGATTCATTGGTTTAACCAATGTTGAACCAAAGACGTAACAATCACTAAAATAATAATATAATAATAATATAATAAATTAATAGTAAAAATTTCTTTGTTCCTTTTATCTTAAAAATAATAATATAATAATAATATAATAAATTAATAATAAAAATTTCTTTGTTTCTTTTATCGACTCGAAATAATTAAATAATAATATTTATTTATATCTTTTATATTAATTTTTATGTGTGTTAAACAAATGTAATTTTTTTTATTTTTTAAAATTATTTGAGTGGCATATTTATAAAAAATACAAGTTTAGATGTTATATATGTAAATAAATAAGTATTCCTAAAAATCCAGTTTATAGCTATTGTCTTTAGAAATTTTGTGTATGGAAGACTTAGGTGTAGAGTTTTACAGCCACGAAATTTCAAATCCTTGGCAACTGGAATTTTATAATATAAATATTCATGGAATTCCAAAATAAATAAATAAATATAAAAACAGTTCATTAGGACCGTGACCGGTTCGACGCTTTTAATGTTGGACCGCTGACCTAATGCAGGGATGGTTCTTAGCTCTCCCAAAATCGCAGCACCAACCGGTTCACGGTGGAACCGGTTGAACCGGCCGTTCAGCCCAATTTTTTAAACCGTGGTTATAACATAGGAATTGAGTGGTATGTATGTAAATCGTCCAATTCATAGTCAATGCCTCGTACAAAAATACAGATGGACCGGCATTAGATTTAAATTCCTATCCGTCTTCAGAGAAATGAATCACTTCCATCCAATTTTCATCAGTATAAACATGTTAATTTCTCTGTTATAGCTAATTCTAAAGAATTAGACGAAGAAAAAGAATTTTCACTCGTATGATACAGTCAGGATGACAATAAGCATTATGAACAAAACAATTTAATATGGTTATGGAAAGTAAGAGTATTATTTTGGTTCCAACTTTGTTGATAAAGAACTACCACTGTAAGCAAAAGAACTACCACTTACTTCCTTCTGAGTCATTATTTGATCATAGATATCGAAAGGATAAAGATCTATAGCATTTGTCGATTTTACGGTCGTATCCGCACTCAATCCTTCCTTTTTCAGCATAACCTCAATCTCCTTCACGACATCACTCATCGTCGGACGATCGGCTGCCGATTCCTCTAAACACAGCAATGCCAGCTCAACAAATCTTCTGAAGCCTACAAGATGCGTGGTTTCTCTAATGAGAGGATCCATTATTTCTTTCAGACCATAATAAACATCGTTTTTGTTCAGTGCAGACTTCACAACTGAAACTATATACTTTCCATTATGTATGGGTGGATCTCCAGTAATCAGTTCCAGCATTACCACTCCAAAACTATAAACATCACTCTTTTCTGTAAGTATTTGGGTCATGTAATACTCAGGATCAAGGTAGCCCTGTAAAGATTTCAGATTTTGTTAACTTTTGAAAAATGAAATGCATCTTTTCATGTATAGGTAAGGTGGCATAGGTGTTATAAATGTAAATACAAAAGAATTGAGTGGCATATATGAAAAATCTTCCTTTTTGATAACTAGTACCATAGTTGAGGGCAGCTGCTATACTTACTAGTGTTCCCTTCACTTGGGTGGAGATATGGCCAACTTCTCCGTCAGTCATTAACTTTGAGAGACCAAAATCTGCAACTTTGGCAATTAAATTTTCATCAAGCAGAATATTGGCTGATTTGATGTCCCTGTGAATTATGGGAGGATTTGCAAGTTCATGGAGATAAGCCAGTCCTCTTGCTGAATCCAGAGCAATCTGAAGCCTTCTCATCCAATTCAGTTGGATGCCTCTTCTTCCTTAAAGTTCATTATTCAATAAATTACGATCTTCATCAGTACAAGGGGGCAGTCAAATTGTATGGAAGAACATTGCCATTATAAGGTTAGAAAGCATACCATCCAAACTCTCTCTGAGTGTTCCATTGGGAACATACTCATACACCAGCATTCTCTCTCCCTGTTGAAAGCAAAAGCCTACAAGATCTACAAGGTTTTTGTGGTGAACCCTAGAAAGAAGCTCAATCTCGGTTTTGAACTCGAGACCACCTTGACTCGATCCGACCTTCGATCTCTTGATAGCGACCATCCTCCCATCGAGAAGTATTCCTCTATAGACCTGCAAGGGAGTAGAGAGATCAGATATATCACTGGCTGATAAAAGACTAAAGGGGCACTTATATACATACCACACAATTCTTATGTATTTACATAGCTAACACCTAAACATCCATATTTACACGTATGCCACTCAAAATTTGAACATACGTCAAAAATGCAACCATCACAACCTTTTCAAAGTGAAATGTACATTTTCATACAGAAGTTTATGACACCAGTGTGTTATGAATGGAAATATCAAACTTTGGGTGTTAGATGTGTAAATATACAAGAATTGTGTGGTATGTATGTAAATTTCCCATGACTAAAAAAGCCATTATCTGTGGTGTAGGATAAGAATTACCTTCCCATACCCTCCTGATCCAATGGCATTTATTTCTGGGAAATTGTTTGTGCACTTCTTGAGTTCTTCAAATGAAAAAAATCTGGCCCCCTTCAATTGAGGTGCTTCACCGCTATTTTCGAAACTTGCATCCCATGTTGCTGAAAAAAGCAAAGGGTTCGGAGTTTTAAGCATTTTTCATTTTGTTTTTATGAACTGCAACTAAAATTTCTTTTAAAAAAATGAAATGAAGTACTCGATCTCAATAAAAGTTGTTTGCAAACTAATGATTGTTAATAAAAAACAGAACATACCAAAAGGGTTGCTCATTTCAATGGCTTTTTTTGCCCGTTTCTTTTGCTGAAAAGCATAGAAAGCAGCACTAGCAAGCCCAAGAACAAGGAGTGCACAACCAACAGTCAATCCCACTATCAAACCAACATTTAAATGTGATGAAACTGCAGAAGTAATTGCAGTCAGTGATGCAATTAGAAATTATTCCATCTTAATTCTAAGATTGAGTCATAAATCAAATAGCAGTAACCTGGAAAAGAGTATGGAAACGCTCCAAAGTAGAACGGTCCATATACTGCAGGAGCTGCATACACGTTACCACTCAGATCAAGTTTTTCAAGAACATCCTTTACGCTGAAATAGGTTCCATTCAAGGGACAGAGTACTAGATGCACTTCCAAATATGAATCATTGTTAAAAAATGGATTTTGAAGAGAAACTGATCCCAAAGTTGGACCATACCGCTCCCAAATACTCTTCTCCAATAACTGGAATGCAGTCTCATTACTAAGATCTCGAAAATATGGGGCTCTAAAGAACATAATTCCCTCATATGGATGTGTACATGTATTATTTGTAGGGCATGATTTTCCGCCACATTTGGAAAGACCAGTTGAGTAGGTTGGTGAGAGTTCTTGTGAAAGCAAACAATAACTTGACCCTGATAAGAGAGCATTGCTGCACACAGGATTTCCACTGAGCCTGCCATCACAAGGAAAAATTGGAATTAGCAGATTTTGTATTGCCGTAAGGATTCCAAGGACAGCATATTAGATGCTGGAGATGATCTTACAAAATTGAATTGTTATAGCTCAAGCTAAGTGCTACCGATGTAAGATCATTGTTTTCGAAATTCACAATCTTTAGTTCTTCACTAATGTTGCTTCCCATGTCAAGAGTGCCGTTGAAAGAGTTGTTCTTAAGTATCCTGACGAAGAAATTTTGCAATTAGAAATTGAAAGAATACACTATTTGTGTGCTTCCCCATTTTTTCTTTCTCCTTGATTTCCACACTTTGTTATAAACAGAACTTTGTTCAAAAATCTGTACTTACACTTGCTGCAATCGAGGAAAAGTGAAGAGCTTTTGTGGAACTTGTCCATGAAGTCTTCCAGATTCAATAGCCCTGCAAGCCCCCAAGTAGTAGTGTCTCTCAATTGACAAAATCAAAAGCTTCAAAATTTCAGCAGAAATTTTGTGAGTAGCTTACAAAGTAGTTATGTTTTCATTTTCTGAAATCCATGCTGGAGCTTCAGAAGGATCAAAGGAGTTGTTGCTAAGATCCCTGAAATAATAATAACAATAGTTTCATTGAAAAGGAAAAAAGTAAATTCCCCATATACGCGGAAAGCTTCTTACACAACATTGAGGCGGTTCAACCCAGTTAGATTTGGCATAGGTCCAATTAAACCATTATTTGCTAGATTTCTGAAGAAGTAGAAACAAATTAATCCATTAGTTACTGACCAATATCAACATGCAATGGCTTTACAGTGGCCACGATAACTTACAGGACATGGAGACTGGTAAGATTGTTGATGTTGGAAGGAGCTGAGCCTCCCAGAAGATTATTGTCAAGACGTCTGTATTAAAAAAATATTCATTACAAGAAAATCCAACAAAGTTATGCCATAGTTATATGCATTGATACACTCACATAATCTCAAGCGTTTGCACTGTTCCAATGGAAGCTGGAATAGTTCCATCTAATTTATTTCTATCTAGAAGTCTGCCATTAGCAGCGATATGGAGTTAAAAGAACTTCATCTAAACACTGAAGCGATGCAAAGGTTGAAGATTGAATCTTACAAATGAATCAGGTGCATATTGGAGTTAAAAAGTTTTTCTGGGATGAGACCTGAAAGCCTATTCTTGTTTAAATGGCTGGCAGGAAGCATAAAATGTTAAAAAATATCATAATTGTGGATCTGGGTAATGGTGATTGATTGAATCCTTTATTTCAGATAATCTGAAACAATGAAGGTTTGGATTAACTCACAAGTGCTTCGTATTTACAAGCTGATCTAGTCCTGGAATTGAGCCATTAGAGACTGGCAAGGTCCCAGTCAGTTGGTTGTCTGCCAGGTCCAGCCAAGAGAGCTTTGAGAGGCTTCCTAGAGAAGCAGGTATGGTACCAATGAACTGGTTTGAATTCAGAGCCCTGGCGACAATAAATAAAGATGTCAAGCAAACCTAGTACATCCTCAAAGAAAATTAGTAAGAATTTTGGGGCATTAGTTAAAGCAACTTACAAAAATGTGAGCTGAGTTAGGTTTCCTAATTCACTGGGAATGGCGCCACTGAAGCTGCAACTTACCAGCATTCTATGTAATTATACAGTAAAAAATGAAGATAGTCAGCTTCAGCATTTCATAAAGTCTTAACCTTTCCATAAAAAATTAAAGGATTTGATAAACTAATTTAATAAGCTTACAAGGATTCAAGCTGTTGCAATTCCCCAACAGCTGGTGTAAGCTGGCCGCCTAGACCACTATTGTAGGAAAGATCCCTGCAAATCTCAAGATAAGCGCCCACAATCACTGATTCAGCAAACAAATCATTTCAAATGTATGATATAGAAAACCCTAAATTATCACACATCCAGCTCATCATCTATGTTCGACGAAACTTCGCATAATGGCAAGTGCAATATCGTCAATCAATTTCCTAACATCATATTTGTCTCTTTTGTTCGGCAAATCAAACTATGAGAAAAGAGATGAACTCTTTTTTTTTTATCGATATCATCTCCAATGATTGTGTTTTTGTGTGTATTGAAAAAATAATAATAATAAGAGTAATAATCGAAAATTGAGATTAAAAATCTACAAACTAAGAGAAGCAAACTCACAGAGTTTTCAGCGCAGTTAAAGTTGCGATGTCGCTGCTCAACTTTCCTCTAAGCCCCATGTTGTACAATTTCCTGAAACAAAAATTGAAAAGAAAAACTCAAAAGCTCAAATCAAATACCAGGCCAACAAAAACCAAATCTGACAATCGGGAATCAAATAGAACAAAGGTCTCACAGTTCCGTCACCCGCGAGCCACTGCAGGTGACTCCCTCCCATGGCTGCGATCCGCAGGGATCATTCGACCTCCCCCAGCCCGACGGCATGTTCTCGATGTAACCCATAAGAGCACGAAGTGCAGCAACTGAAACAAAGTCTCCATCATCTCTTAAGCATTTCCTTTTCTTCTAGCTATAAAAATCTATTGAATTTCCATTAATTAAGATTGATGAGAGGAAAGTAAAAGAAACCTACTATCTTGGTTAACAGTGGCCGCCGCACCGGCTTGAAGTCCGGCGATGACGCACGCCAAGTGAAGAAGCAGCGGTAAGTCTATTGGTTTTGCCATCGTTCGGAGAAGAAGAAGAGGAGGAAGGGTTCTCGAGTCTCATGTAGCCATGCGTGGAACAGGAAGAACAGAGCGGAGCGAACAGAGAAGAGGCTGCGGCCCACTGGAAATTTAAGAGAGATATACTAGTTCGGTGAAAAAACTATTATCAAATGTCGTTTTTTAAGAAAATCGCAAATACGAAGAAAAATCATAATTATTAGGGAATTTATAAAAATAACTACTAACATGATGGGGTTAAGGAAGAGGAGGAAGGAATAGCGGCGATGATATTTACTCGGAACAATTTGATGGATTTACATATGTAACACTTAGAAATTCATGTTATGTACATATTTCATACCCAAAATTTACTATTTACATATTTAACACCAAAAACATATTTGACGCCTCAAAAATGACACTTTGCCCTGTTTGAATGAACTTTGCATTCGGCGAAGCTTCTTTAAACGCGACATTTGTGGAACCGGAGCAAGGGATGCCAGATTCAAAAAGACAAAATAATGTCATTTCTGCTAACAAGTTTTGGTGAATGCTCTAGAGATGTTTTTTTCACTTCGTTTGAGTGAACAATGTGTAATATGTTTGGATGAATGAGTAGAAGTTAAACAATCGCTCGAATGAAGCCTTTGTTTCCCTTTGTTATCATCTCAGGCATTAGATTAGCTTTTTCCCGACTGTCACAGACCTTCGCCTACTTTCGATTTTGATCCATGAAGCTGGAAATCGAGGGTTCTTCATAACCTCTAGATTCCAATAATCAATACAAAAAATCTATTTATGCTAAAGCCCTGTTTAGGGTTACGACGCGGATTGGAAACACCAATCGGAGGTCTTGCCCTAGCAATGTGCTCCTCTCCCACGATCCTCTCTCTCACAATACTTGCCCTAAACTCTCTCGTGATTCTCCTGTATAGGGTTGCCTCTCTCGGTGTTCTCTTCTCCTTTTTTATCTACTATGCGGTTCTTTCTGAGTGTGAAGGTTCCTCTTCGTGCAATGTTTTGTGAGTTCAATGGTTCCTCTGTGTTGTGGTTTTTGTGTGGTGTTTCATCTGTGTTGTGGTTTCTCTGTGTGGTGGTTCATATGTGTTGTGGTTTATATGTGTGGTGGTTCCTTTGTATTGTGACACCTCTTCTTGTTGGGTAATCCTTACCTTAACTATACTACTATTTTTGTTTTTGGAAATTTGTACATTGCCGAGATTTTTGTGGGTTTCTCTTTCCAGTGGTTCCTTTGTGCAGTGCTTATTCTTCTTGTTGGATAATATGTACCTTAACTTTTTTTTGTTGCTTTTGATTATGCAAAGGACTTTATGCTCGAAAATTTAGTGTTTTGCTCTGTGCGGTGGTTCCCTTTCTTGTTGGTTAATGCCTATGTGCTCAAGAATTTTATAGTTTTTTATTTTGCAATTGTTTATGGTTAATTGGTTTTTGATTTTTGTTGGATTTTGCAATTTTTTGGAATCCTACATGTGATGACATGGAAATGGGTATTGGTTTTTGATTGATGTTGGATTTCAGTTTTATGCTTGCTCTTTTAAGTTCTTGATTAGTGAAATCTCTACTGGCTTTGAATGCATGTTCAAAGGCTTGTAATCACGTGCAAAAGGGTATCTTTTGGTTGATGGTGGATTATGTACATGTGGTTGATGTTGGCTTATGTTGTTTGTGTGGTAGATGTGAGGGTGGATGTGTTTGTGTTGAAGGATATGGATGTGGTGGTGAAGGGTGGTTGGTGCGTGGATGTGGAGGTGGAGGTGGTAGTGTTTGGAGGTGTTTGTGTGTGGGTGAAGTGGATTTATTTAGTGATGGTGGATGTTTTTGTGTGTGGGTGAGGTGGTGGTGGGTATATTTGATGTGGTTGTGGATGTGTTGGTGATAGTGAATGTGTTTGAAGGTGGTGATTATGTGGTTGTATATGCGTTGATTAGTTTGTTGGTGTGTGGAGTTGTTGGTGTGTACAAGTAGTTGTGTTATAGATGTGTTATGTGTAAAGGTGTTTGTAGTACTTTGTGTGTGTGGAGATGGCGACATCAGTTATGTGTAGGTGTTGTGATGCAGAGGGGCAATAATTATGTTATTGTGGTATTCTTTTCTCTTTCTAAGCTGAGTTAAATATTTTTTTATGGGAAATGTTTATGTTGATTAGTTTTTTTCATGATAATATACACAATAGTTAAGACAAAAGAGGTTGGTTCATCTTCAATGTGGGATAGGAACACCAAAATGATATTTTGTGACATATGCCTCAAGGAGGCCGAGAAGGGAAATAGACCGACAATCTATTTCAACGATGAGGGATGAAAAAATATCATCAAAAAATTTAAGGAAAGTAATGATAGAGAGTATGATAGGATGAAGTTGAAAAATAAATTGTATTAGTTGTAAAAGGATCGAAAATTATGGAAAGAATTAAAGCAAGGAACCACAAGTTTGTGATGGGATCTGATAAAGCGAACAATTGATGATTCTGATGAGTGATAGGCTGAGAGACTAATAGTGAGTATTTTTTAAACGTTCACTACTTTTGTTCATTATTTAATTTTTTTTTTCAAGTCCATTAACATCTCAATTGAATTTGTAGGTGATGCCGGCAGCTAAAAAAAATTAAATGCAGCGACATCGATATTGAGTGAGAAGAAAAGTTAAATTGTATGTTTGGCGGTATCGTAGCCACAAACAACAATGCATGTGCCCTCAGTGGGCATGAGTTTGGTGGCACACCTACAAATTTGGCAGTTGACCAAACAAGTGATTCTGATGAAGTCCTCAGCCTGAATCACAATGAGGTCGAATCCACTAGTCGATCAAAGCGGCCCAGAATAGAGAAAAAGAATAAAGAGGGAGTTGCTTTCATTAAAAGTCGGATGGCACAGTTGATTGCTTCAAGCACTAATGACCCTAGCCCACCATAAACAACATATGTCTAGCAGTTCTGTGAATTTTAGAGGCAACTACAGAAACTTATGAAAACATGTCGCTGTATTTTTTTCTCTATGAAGTTTCTTGAAGATCCGACCCGGAGAGAATTTTTCATTATGATGGTTGATGACCGTAGAATGGATTACCTACGTTATTTTCATGGGAACAGTAGCGCTTAAGAAACAATTTTTTTCACTACATTCTTGTGGGACATTTCATATTTGTTATTTGTTTATTTATTTTCGGCATGTTGTTTTGGACATTTTTCATTATATGCTTATGGATTTTCGTATTGCTTTGGACATTTATATTACTTTGAAAATGTCACTTTACCTGAGAGTTTTTCATTTTTGTTATGTTTTTTATTTACTTCAATAATGTTTTTTTTTTATGTTTGTTTTGTTCATAGCGCTATATGATTGTAGCTAATTTGTTATGCTTATGTGTTAGCTACTTCGACGCGTACCACAATACATGGATGCTAATAGAGAAAGACGTAGAATAAGAGTTGTAGATGCAGTGTGTTTGATGTACGAGTATTATAACTCGTACATAGAAGCTCCCCTCGCATGACATGCTTCTATGTTGGCAACAAATGGGTTGAGGAGCTACTAGTGGGCCACCCTATGAGGTTTAGCAATATGTTCTACATGTCACGAGCGGTATTCATTGATCTGTTGGAGGAACTTCACAGAAATCATGGACTTCATGGCTCCACTGGGACGACTTCACGAGAGGCGTTATAATAACCTTCTACATATTATTGCAAAATGAATCAATGTGAGGAGTTGTGGAATGAATTTGTCTTTTTTCATCAAAATCATAAAGTCAACAGATCCTACATTCGAACAGACCCCTACGAAGATTTTGGACGGTGTGCGGTATATGTCAAACTTTTAAGTAATTTCTTCTATTTAGTACATTCAACTTTCATATGAATAGAGTGATTGCATAATGTTTTGTTATCTTTTTAGAATTATATTGGAGCAATTGATGTAACACACGTGGATGCACGTGTTCCAAACAATGAGAAAATGACATTCATTGTCGTTGTGGGTTACCGAAATAGAATATCATGGTTGTATGCAAATTCAAAAAGTGCTTTATTTTTGTCATGATCGGTTGGGAGGGCAGTGCATATGACAGTCAAATTTTCAAATCTGCAAGGCAGAATAAGAAATACAACTTCCCACATCCACCCACATGTTCGTTTTAGACCAACCTGGTCCCTTTTTTTACTTTAACACTAATCATTCTATTCATACCAGGTAAATTTTATTCATCGATACTGGGTATCCATTGCAGTGAGGGTATCAGAAGCCTTATCCTGATATGAGATACCACATAACTAATTTTGAGAGAGCCAACAAAGTCATGAAGGGCAAGAAAAAAATGTTCAACAAAAGGCACTCCTACTTATGCAGTGTCATTGTGAGGAATTTTGGTGTTTGAAAGAATACATGGTTATACTTTACGATATGCCAACTAACTCTTTTCTCAAAAAAATGTAAATTGTGATTGACACAATGACTCTCCACAAATATATTTGACAGCATCCTTCCCACAATGACATCGACTTCCTTAGGGCGTGCGACGATCATGCACATGTCCCTATTGAGGCATATGAGTATCAGCTTGAACAGTCTTTGTCACAAGTCAAAAATGATATTCCTGAGACCTGCATTCATGCTGAGGAAGGTGTAAGCGAGATGGCCAAGTTGAGGGAACGAATTATGGATGTGATACTTAAAGGGTGATTGGAAGGCATGTTACTTTTTGTTTCTATTGATTGTAATGATTATTGAAGACAATCACTATTTATTATATCAGTGTTTTTATACAATTCATGTATAATTCTGTTCATTATGCTTTTGATATTCACGGTGGTCATTTTCTTATTTAAGTTGTATATGTTTATCCTCCTTTTGCATTTTTTTTTCTTTTTGTGGGTTTTCTAGGTCTATAGTGAGATATTTGATCTAATGGGTTTATCTAGATGATCTGTATGTTGCTATTGGTTGGTGTCATATGTGAAATTCTAATGAAGAAAACCAAGTTCCTCTCTTTTTTTTTGGTGTTATGAATTTTGAGATTTTTCTGGATGGTTTTTTTTGATGATATGCATATGTGACATCAATGAACTTGGTATTACATGGATTAAATACAATTAAGAATAGTTTTTTTTATAAAGTATGTTGTCCTCTTATAGTGGCAG